AAAAAAAAAAAAAAAAAAAAAAAAAAAGCCTGTCATTTGCACATATTTCCATACAGGCTCCCAAAGTCCTGATTCCATATTTGATTGTGTTCCAAGTTTGATTATATTCACACTCAACCTCGAGGACATTAGAAACATAGATGGTTTTGTATTTAAATCCAAATGGTAATGGAATTGCTGTTCTGGATTTGGATTCCCATCACAAGCTCCTATCTTTCCTGTAACTAACCCTTCCTTTGAGCCCTATCAGGGCTGGGGGTGGTGTTGAATGGCAGGAGCACCTTGTTTGAGGAAGTTATCCAGCCTCCCCTCCTTGGCTGTCAGCTCCATCTGAGATAGACTGTTATTACCTGCCAGCCAGTACCCCCTCTCCCCACTGCTCACAAGGCAGATCACCCTTCCCCACTCCCTGACAATGGCCTGTCCCTTCATTCTAATTGTCCCCATCCTGACACCCCCATGCATGGCTGCTGTGGGTCTTGTTTTTCAGACCTCACTGTGGGAGATCTAGGCATCCTCCCTGAGCCAGCTGGCTGCTGTGCCGAGGCCTGTTCAGTTAATAATAATCATTAGCTGAATGGTGCTGGGGCCTTTCAGCTCCAGATCTCTAAGCACTTGCAGGCTGAGTCAGCCAGCCCTCACTTTCCCCCTCTTCTTGGGCTGCAGAGTGTGACAGAATGGGGAGGCACTGTGGGAGAGGAGGGAGTCTGGAGTCTTGTGGCCTATCCATCCCTTGAGGTTTTTTTCTGGGAGCAACACTGAGATGCCTCTTCATAAACTAATAAGGGCTGAGTCCGACAAAGGTAGAGAGATATAGGGAAAACAGTGTATGTTCAGTTGAGACTGGTGGTGGCAGTGGCAGCTGATGACCTGGAACTTCTAGTACTCCTGCCTTTCCTTCTGTTTACCTTCCGTGGCCTCCAGGGGGCACCCTGGGTCCTTATGCCCCAACCTCAGCATTTTCTGGTGCCCCCTCTGCAAGCTCAGGATGCATGGAGGCTTCTGGTTTAATGTCCCTGTGTCTGGTTGGCATAAGTAGCCTGTGCATCATGACGTAAAAGATACATTGACCTGGGAACTGGGAAAGCTGCTGTATCAGTTTACTCAGCCCCCACCACTGCTGTGGCTATGGGCAAACCACCTGGCTACTCGACCTACCTCACAGGGATGTTGAGAGTTAGATAAGAGAAAGCTTGTTAATAGGAGATGGAAAGTTCAAAGCATTAAACCTATGTAAACTGGTGGTATTATTGTGTTTTTGTCCTTTTCTCTCTCACTGAGCCTGGCTCTGGGCTTTATGCTTCCTAGGGAGGCAGTAAACATTTATGGATAATGATGCTTGGGGGACCCAAGTCTGAGAGGTTGTGCTATCATAAGAGAACACAGACATATTTCTTTCTTCAGGATGAAAGGTCAGTTCTTAGGTACTCCTGCCAGAAATGCCACCAAGGCCATGACCAGTGAGGCTTCCCCTACCTAGTATTTTTCATAGGGCTAACTGCTAATCTTGCTTACCAGGTCTAGTCTGAAGTGCCCAGAGTCAATCTTAGATAAGAGCTGCTTGTCACAGGTCTAAATATCTTATCCCTAATTTTGTTCTTCTTAGGGAAAGGGGTACATAAGCCAGGAAGTGAGGAACATTAGAAAATACCACACTGTCATCCCAACCCTCTGGTTTTCCTTCAGTAGCCTCAAGCCCTCATACCAGGCACTGGGGATGCAGAACTGTGAGGGACATGGCTTCTGGCTTTCAGGGACCCACAGCTTGGTTTCCCTTCCTTATTTCAGGCTCTCGGTGTAGGATCACAGTCTTCTCATTTTCCTCCAGATGCTTTATTGGATGCATGTATGTGCATGCATGTGCACACACACACGCGCGCACACACACACACACACACATACCATGAAAGTCTGTTTAAATTTGAAACTAGAGGAAGGAGGATACTTTCCATTCCATCTGTCTGAGAACAGGCAGTGGTCTGCCTGGAGTGAATGCAGAGAGACAGGAGCAACAGCAGCACAGAGGCTTGAATATATATTTTTTATCATGTTTTTTTCTGTCCTGGCATCCAGGAATTAAATACTAATCAGGCATTGTAGATGTAATCTCAGCCATTCTCACAAGCATGGGCACAAAGAAGGCATAAACTGAAAGGTGGGAGGATTGTGCCCTAGATCTGTCCTGGAGGGCGGGTGGCAATAGTCTCAGCACTGGGCTGGACTTAATGCAGACAAAAGTACTTCCAGTAAACAGTACCCCACTCCCAACCCAAGGCTTGGCTGATCACCAGTGCAGTCTCTGAATAACGGTCCATTTTTAATCCACCTGCTAATGTCAGAATTTCCCAGATGAGTTTTTAACCTCTTTTGGAAGCAGACTTAGGAACCATTTCAAGATATTCTGTGGTACCTGGAGTCAACTCTGTCTCAGTGCGTATACCTGAGTACCCCCAGCACTGATATCTTTAAAGTAGATTCCTACTTATCTCACAGTGCATCCTAGGTATGCCCAGTTCTGCTTAGTCCCACACCAGGAGCAAGTTATGACCAACTAAGGGAGAAGTGGTAGGTGAGAGAGAAGCAGCACCAAGTACCAACTCCAGTCCTCTTAACCTGTGTGTTCACTATGCACATACATACACACACATCCCAGAGCTCTGAGGGCACTGACTTTAGTATGCCAGTATCAAAGCGCTTCTGGAGTAGGCCTGCATGTTGTGGCTCACTGAAGGGTGGTTCTCTCAGGCCATTGTTCTGTGCATTCTTTGCTTAGGGGACAATAACCAGGCTAACTAGAAAGGCTCTGGAATGTACCTTAAGTATCTTCACCATTTGATATTTTCCACCTGTCAGTATTTATACCTGATGAGAAGGCTCAATTGACAGCTGCTTTACCCTTCCTCTCTCAAGCCCTCGGAGCAGCAGCATCCTGCACAGATTTACTGTGGCCTGCCCAGAAAAGCCAACTGTCCTACTGAAGGAGCCTGAGCCTTTTCTGCTATGTGGGTGGGGAAAGTGAAGCTACTCCACTAGTTTCCTGGGAGACCACACAAGTGGTACAGATACAGAAAGGGGAGGAGTTGAGAAACCAGGTGAAAGAAAGAGTAGGCTAGGGCCGGAGATTTGGTTCAGTGGGTTTGCCGCCTGCCTTGCAAGCACAAGGTCCTAAGTTTGATCTCTGGTATTTAAAAAAAAAACAAAAAAACAAAAAAACAAGAAAGGAATAGGCTAACCCATGATCTGAACTCTTGTTTTCTATTGTAAAAGGCAACTGTCACATTAGCCTCCTCCAAGTGCTACTTAAGGGCAGGGGAGGGCAAGAGAAAGTACTGCAAGCCATGGCAAACACAACTGCACATTTTGGCAAAGATCTTCTTGTGACTTTGGGTGGGGTAGGGCAGGAAGAATTGAAGCAATATAGCTATGCAATTCCTTGGGATGATGGAAAGAAGAATGTCAAGACTTAGACTGAAGACAGGCCTAGTGGCACAGGCCCAGAACTCTGGGAAGCTGAGGCAGGATGATTGCAAATTCAATCCCAACTGGGGCAGGCAATTTAGCAATTTAGACCTTATTGATTGTATAATCAATAAGTTGGAGATGTAGAACAACGTGAAGGCCCTAGGTTCAATCCACAATACTGCAAAGAACAAAACAAACCCCATCAGACTCAGAGATAGGGTATGGCACAGGCCAATATTAAGGAGAAAATAAGTAGTCTTTCCCCAGTCTGTTCTCTTTACCAGCTTCATCTTCTAGGCCAAACTGACAGCCACAGCAAAAACTTTACAAACACAAAAACTATAAATGTGAACTATGGGAGAGCTTTGACATGAAAATCCATCATTTTACTGATTGCCAAGGTTCATTTGTCTGATGTGGCTGGTTGTAAGATGTCTATCCCCCACCAGCTCAAATGTTCCTCATGAAGTGAAAAAGACTTAACTTCCATCCAGTGTGGTAGTGCATGCTTATTATCCCAGCTACTTGGGAGGATGAGGCTAGAGGATTGCAAGTTCAAGGCCAGCCTGGGCAATTTAGCAAGAGCCTGTCCCAAAATTTTAAAATAATATAAAGAGGGCTGGGGATGCAGCTAGTGTGTGCTCTAATATGTGTGAGGGACTGGGTTCAATCTCCAGGACACACATACCTATACATACATAACACACACATGCATATATGTGCACATGCACACGCATACATGCACACTTTCCAGAATGGGATCTGCCTTTTGGTTGAGATTTTACACATGTAAAAAATTAGGTAATTATACAAATTCTTATTTTTTCAATTTCTTTTTTACCCCCCTTGTCACATGTTCTCTCTCCCTTTGGGATCTACCATGACAATCCCTTTCTGGAAGTACCAGAAGAGTAGCCACAGAATTTGGTGATCAGAATTTAGAATCCATTCCAGTTTCTGATGGGCTATGTCTATACCAAAAAAGTGAGGTCTGCATTTTCTCATTCTGCACAATACCTAGAACACACTAAATTGTCAATGAATATTTTTTTTTTCAGTACTAGGGATCGAACTTGGGTCCTTGCACTTGCAAGGCAGGCAGTAGAACCACTGAGCCAAATCCCTAGCCCCTGTCAATGAATATTAATCTGTGCATTCGATGAGTGTACTTTTAGCCTTAAGATGGCTACGATTTACAACATGAAAATATGCTAGTAATAATCAAAATTACATGTAAGTGAGCAGTTTCCCACTATTATTTAAAACCCATTCCAAGCATTTTCCCACAGTACCATTACTAAGCTCAATCTAGACTTTTAAGAGAATTCTGTGGAGGAGGCAACCCTCCTCTCCACAGACCCAGGAAACCTTCATTATCTTCAAGCCTTAGCCCAGGTCATGGGATTTCTAAACTCTTGCTGCTAAAGCCTCAGTAATATTGGAGAATTTGTCTCAGAGGTTGACAAAACTATGGCCTGCTGGTAAAACCAGTCCCCTGCCTGGATGTGTGTGGTCTGTGATCTACTAATAGTTTTTACATTTTTTAATTGTTGCAAAAAAAAAAAAACCCAAAAACCTCAAAAGACATTGAAATTATATATAATTCAGATTTCAATGTCCATAAATAAAGTTTTATTGGCTCTTGTTTGAATTTTTACCCCAAAAGTTCGTGTACTGGAAGCTTGGTTCCTAGTATGGTGGTTCTGAGAAGTGGTAGAACTTTTAAGAGGTGGGACTTAGTGGGCATCACTCTTGGGAGAAATTTTCATGGGGTCTTGGTTAGTTCCTGCAAGAGGAAGTTGTTATACAAAAAGAAGCCAGACTGCTGGAATCTCTGTCTCAATGTCTCACCATGTGCTCTTCCATCTGTGTTTCCACCATTGTGATGTCATCACTATAAGGTCCTCAACAGAGGTCAACCAGATGGGACCACCTGATCTTGGACTTTTATTCTTCAAAACTGTGAGCTAAATAAACCTGTTTATAAAATATTCAGCCTGAAGTATTTCATTTTAGCAACAAAAAACTGACTAATACATTGGAACAGAACCACAATCATTCATTCTTTTACTGTCTGAACACTTTCAGGGTATAGCAGCACATCTGAAGTGTAACAGACAGTGTGACCTACAAAGCCTAAAGTATTTAGTATCTAGCTTGTGATCCAAAGTTTTCTGACTGTTAATCTATCTTATTGCTAGATGTAGATTTAAGCCATGTCCTTACAATGGCATTTAAAGATTCTCTCTCTAGACTGGCTCACCCATATTAGGTACAGTAAGCCCCACCCACAGGCTGAAAGGTAAATAAACCAGCCACAGACAATGCCAGAACAGAGACTCAAGCCAGGTTTAATGGTCATTATCTAGTTTTCAGAGCCCAGATGCTCTGAGATCTGTCAGCCTGGGTGTACACAAGTGGCAGGGACAGGGTCCTAGACACAGGAGGACATATGGAGGTAAGAACACACACAAAACTGGAATCAGTTGGCTTTGCTCTCCCCAGCTGAGATGAACTCTCTCCTGGCCCCTTCTCAGGGACCTAATACATACAAGCAAAGAAGAAACGATCATAAATAATTACATGGACAGATTGTAGAGTGCTGTCATATTCTTGTCTCCAAGGACACCTGCTTCCTGGGAGATATGTCTGGCTTATGGGTGCAGGGTAGGGTGGGGGGGGGTGATCTCTCAGCCTTGTCTTATAACCACATCTGGTAGTTTTCTACCCAGGTTCTAGAGAGCTTGCTGAATTGCATGCTCCTGGTGAGTATTCAGTCCCCCAAGTAGAAAGCTACCTTTGGGTTTTATCAACTGAAACCATGGGAAGAAGCTAATAAGATAAACCTCTTAGTGGGGCAGGCAGGCACATCTTCAAGGTATCTCAAACTAATGGATACAGTAGGGAGGCTTAGAGCTTCAAGGTAGGACTCCCGAAGAAAATGGCCCTCCTAGACCTGGGAAACTCAGCTAGAATGCCTCAGAAGGATTGCTTCATTTGATTTTCACTGTAAGAGTTTCAGAGCAAAGGGTAGTACCAAGAAGGAAAACTGCAGCATGAAAAAATATTTTCCCATGTTTCTAACTAAGTCTGAGGAGGGAGTCCTGCTACCTATTGCTCTGGTAACAAAATCCTCGTTAAGTCTCAAAGGTATAGCCAAAAAATGTTTTCTTCCTACTTGTCTTATTACAGCAGTTAACATTAAGATCAATTCATAGCTGCTCTGCTCCTGCTAGTTTTCTTCTGGGTCCTTCACTGTCCTAGTTCTTAGTATTGTGTATATGTAGTCTTTAAGGAAGGTTTCTCAGGAGACTGAAGAAATACCTAGGGCCTCACAACCCCTTCTCCCAAGATCTTCAACCCATGGTCTTATAATTCTAGCTTTTGCAGAGAAGTAATTCAGAGTCATGGAGATGTGAGGTTTCAGGAAATTCAGAAATTAAAGTACAATAGTTTGTGTATCTGAAAAGCCTGGCATGGTCACTGTCTCTCCTACAGCACAAGAAAACTGTGTGCATGAAATTGTGCACAAAGTGAGAGACTGTACTGGAAGTGGCATTAATGGGGACTACAGATCCATTGTCCTGGAGGTCAAGGTGCTGGTGTGCATGCATACTTATAAGCATGCATACCTATGAACATGCAACTACTTGGGGGAAATTGCTGCACCTCTCTCTTGACAAAACTAGGTTACTAATAAAAGATGGACAGCAGCCTTGAGATCCCAGGGACAGATAAGGGGAAGATGTTGACCTCTAAGTCCCTTCCCCAATCTTAATGGGCCCTCCTAGCAAGCAGTCCTCACCCACAGGTAAATGACACCTCTTAGAACTAAAAGGAAGATATAAAAACAAAAACAAACAAAAAAAACTAAAGGACCTGGAGAACTTTCAAGAGACAGGAAACATAGGCGATAAGAGACACTAAAAAGGACCAACATCAAAGAAGATTTTTATCTTTGCCCTGCTCATCCCTCTTCCAAAGCTCAGAGCTACCACCTCTCAGACCTGTACTACAGTTACAGGGAGAAGTTAAAGGGAGCAGTCATCTTCATACCCAAAGTATTCTATGATTCTGGCTGGGAACTAATGTTCTTATGTTCCTCTGGCCTAACAACCACAACCGTACAGACCTCTGGCTGAGAAATGGAGTGCCAGAACTTTCCATCTGAGTGTTCTGTCATTGGTTGCCTCTGCTACTGGATTGCCTTGAGCTTTACAGAGGATAGAACTCTAAGCTGCACTCCAAACTTCAGTTCTGAGAAAGAGACCACCCAATTTCAACCCTTGAGATGACAAAATCCCAAAAAGCTTTGGCTTTGCAGCAAGAGTGAGATCTCTTGAGAGAGGAGCGAGGCAGCCTTGTCAACATAGAGGAGATACCTACCAGGTCTCTCAATCTCCACACCAGTCTAACCCAGCTGGGGCCAGACTTTCCTAAACTCTTCTCTTTGCAAAGTAGCACATTAAGAAAACTCAGAATCCCACCTTAGCTTTGATAAGAAGACTGAAAAGATGGCATACACAAAAAATTTTATCAGGTAGGTTCAGCTTGCTGCTACATCACAGAAGCTGATTTACCCTCATCCTTCTGGAGAGTGGGCCAACATACCACATCTACAGGAGGTATCTGTTAAAGTTCTGCCTTTCAGCAATTCACTCTGGTCTGACACATAAATGCTGGGAATCAAATGTTAACCAAGGGTTTCTCCAACCAGGGAATTAGCCTCTCTGGAGTAACCCTCATCTACAAGTTTTATGCTAACAGCTATTCTGTGATGGGAGCCTTTCAATTTATGCTATAACTACGCCACTGGTCCCACTACAAGGCACAGACACCACATCCTACATGCTGCCATAACAGGCAACAGGCCAGGCTCCTGCTAAGATCCATCTACCCAGGGCTCACTGCGAAAGAAGATAGTGGAAAGTCTCACAGCAACTTTACGGAGCATTATTGATCGAAGCCTCAGGTTTTCCTGACTCATTTTCCAAAGATTTTCAATTCCCCAGCTGTGAAGTGTAACTTCCTGACCAAAAAAGATACTGCAGCTTTTCCAACATGGCTCCTGTGGAGGCTCTCCCAACACACACAACTTCACAGGTGTGGGTGGGCAGAGACAAAAAAAAAACAAAACTGTTTTCAAATGATTTTCCTTTAAGGAGCTAGGGATGACCTCAAAAAAATTTGGGGAATTTGCTCTTCCCTTTACCTCCTTCCTCGTTCTCATCCATCTCAGACATGCTCCTCTTCCTCTACTACACTGAGAATTGCCAGGGCTTTGGGTAGGGGTGTAGCATCTGCCTGAGGATTAATATATCCATATTTGAAACTCGTGGCAGCCACACCCTCAGTGGGATCTTGCCTGCTGTTGTGCCCATGACCAAGTCCCTGGAGGTCAGGAAGAACCCACTCCCTTGGGCAGCCAGCCCTCTCTTCCATCCCCTCATATCCTTCAGGGGTGCATTACCTCTTCTGGGGCAGAATCTCCCCACCAACCTATCCTGCTCACACCACAATGGGTGTATCAGAGAAGACTGAGCTGACAGATTCTGGATCTGACATCCTTCGTTGGCCCTTGCCTGTTGCCTCAGGCACCGGCAGGGTGTTACCTGGCTTGAGCTTGCCGTTCTGACCTTGCCCAGGTCCAGCAGGTTCCAGGAAGGCCACCCGCCGGTCAAAACCATCATCTTTGTCCCCACCAGCCATAGGATCATGGTTGGGTGTGGTACTAAGCATGGAAGAGCTGAGGCTGTCACCTTGATGGCTGGAAGGCTTCTCTACACCCCGGCACCAGCAACGGCAAGGGGTAAGATACAGGTATATGAGAACCAGGACCACACTGAGGATACAACCCACTAGGGTGGTATAAGCTGTGTTGAGAGTGTCATGGTGTCCATGCATGGTGAAGTTGTATACTTTCAACTCCACAGACAGTGTCTCATTGAATGTCTCCCCCATAGCATAGCAGGTATACACACCCCCATCTTCAACCTGCACCTTCTCGAATTGTAGATTGCCATCTTTGACTCTCACTCTCACTGTGCCATTGGCCACCTCCTCTAGCACTCGTTCATTGCTTGGTGTTACCCACACCTTAGTCATTCTCTGCTGCTTGGTGTCACAGTTGATAGTGAAGGTGTCACCCAGGTGAGCCTCCCAGGCACTCTCCTTGTACTCGCTGCAGTTGAGGAAACTCAGGTTGAAGACATTGTGCAGCTCCTTGGAGCGCACACAGTACAGATCCTCCTGAAAGTCCATCACAGAGCTCAGCTGCCGGTACTGCCAATGTGAAAAGAGCTGGTAAAGCTTGCAGGTGCATTCCAGGGGATTGTTATGTAGGTACAGTCCATTCTTGATCCATGCTGGCAGCTTCTGCAGGTCACTCAGTGGCAAGGTCTTCAGTTTGTTGGAGGACAGATCCAAGAGTGTTAGTTTGGGTCGCTTGGCTCTTTCATTGACCAGTTCCAGAGGGAAACGGGAGATCTGGTTCTGGCTCAAGTAGAGTTTCTGGAGCTGGGCCATGTCATCGAAGGCAAAGCGGTCCACCGCCATGATATGGTTATTGTAGAGCAGCAGAACCTCCAGTGCTTGCAGTTCAGTGAAGAGAAACTCGTCTAGCGTTCGCAGCTGGTTGGAGGAGAGGTCTAAGTAGCGCAGGTTGGGTACTGGGGAGAAGGCCTCAGAGGAGATGAAGTTCAGGTGATTGTGGCTCAGCAGCAGGGAATGCAGGTGGATCAGTCGTGTGGGGGTCCACTCAGCTCGCAGGCGGCTCAGGTTGTTGTGGCTGAGGTCCAGTAGTGCTGTGTAGCTGGGTAAGGAATGGGGCACATTGGGCAGTTGCTGTTTGGAGCAGCTGAGGATGTTGCTGGCACACAGGCAGGCAGCAGGACAGCTAACCACAGGTCGGCCAGCTCTGGACACCTCAAAGAGGATCAGGAACAAGGACAGCAGCAGGAGCCAGAGGCCTCGCAGGTCACAATGGGGTTGCATAGTGTCACTACAGAGGGTGAGGAAGGCCACAAGGAAGATCTGGGAGGGAGTCACCCAGGCATGTTTTCCGATGGGTGGGGCGCAGAAGGGTCACTTTCACTACAGGCATGAGAGAAAGAGGATGGATTTGTGGTCACCTGGGAGTCTGGAGGGAAAAATGGCCACTCCCACTTTCTTCTCC